AAAAAAAAAAAAAAAAAACAAACTGACAAGACAACGGGAAATCACAAGATTATATCGCATCACAGCAAAAAATCGCAATCACATCTTATGTCGTTACTTCAATATATATATATATATATGCATGTATCCGGAAAAACGTCGAGTAGCGCGATAAAGTTCACTTGATTTTAATGAAACGAGTCGTTCGTTACAGAGAGATTAGTTGGAAGATTATTGACTTGAGAGACTGCGGAGAGACACGTGTTATTGTGGGATCGACGCGGGATACACGTTTCGTTAACATATTTGCATTATGTCTCTCTTTCTTAGACTTTTTGTTTGTTAGTTTTTTTTTTTTTTAGTATGCACGTGCAATTTTTGGGATACAGCTCTCGATGTAAGAACCGCCACCAGATTGCATTCCGCATGTCTTTTCCGATTACACTGCACATTCGATCTCACGCGTTTCTCTCCCGAGCTGATCGCGCAACTAAGGTTTTTTTTCTGCACATTATTATCTATTTATTTATATTATTTTTAATGTTACTAATATTATTATTTTTTTTTTAATTATTATTTGCGACGTAAATTGCTGCCGCAATTGCACTCGGTTATTTTTCCCCTTTCTCTTTCTGCCTTTTTCTTGTGAGATTTCAAAGCTTCTCTTCCTTCTCCCGACAGAAATAACATCCCCCCTTGGCCCGTTTTAGGCTTTCGGAAGGAACCCTACGATTATGGCGACTAGTATAACCGCCGATATTAGGACGCAGATTATGATGAAGATCATTTTCTGTGGACAGAAAAGCAGAGAAGACCACGTGTGAGGGGGGAGGTGAAATGTGCGTTTTGTTACGCGCTTCGTCCAAGTCGCGAAGTCGCGCAAGGAATTAAAGATAAAAATAGATCAGAGAAGAAAAAAGTAACGAATTTTCAATACTTATGTTGCATGGCGTGCCTTGTAAGAAGATTATAAAAAAGAGTATACTTATGTATACTACGTATTACATCATTCGAGAAAGAAAAAAAGAGAGAAAGAGACAACGAGAAAAATTTTTTTCGGCAAAAAGATCAAAAAAAAGAAAAAACGTGAGGAAAAAACTGGGTCGGCTGTAGTCGAGTGCAGTGGATCAGAAATAAAAAATATTTAAAAAATAAAAAAAAAAAATAAAAAAGATTCGAAGCTCGTGGGAAAAGAAGCGGTGTGAAAAACATGTAAGAAGCGAGCTTACATATATGATTACACATGTTCGCTTATATATTGACTTTGCGCTTGCTGCACACAAGTAATGCACTTCCGATTGATTTTTCGCGATGGAAATTGAATACAGCATATGTAACGTAATAGAAAGCACATATGTATATAACAGAAATTATTTATAAATATATCTCAATAATATTTTCAATTACTCATTACTTTAGGTTCAATTTATATTTGTAAGCCGCGCGTTATATCTCGGTATTTTAATTTATAATAAATAAATTGTTACGTTTTTGTTAGACGAAACGTCTTTTTGTTTATCGGATCAAAGTGCAGAATATATGACAGTTCGTTACTGTTGTAAATATTATTATTATTATTATTACGGACGACAAATCTCAGGGGGATGACGTGCTGTCAAATACAAAACCAAGCACATTCCTCATACAACTAATAATGTTTCACAAACTGGTTAGTCACAAACACCAAACCACTCTACTTGGTCACAGAGAGATGTCGATTAAGTCTGCTCTCTAGTCTACCACACCGCAACAGTGTTTCTGCGAAAATTTAGAATACAACGCATTCTCCTAGTACTGCGGGTACTCTACGTTGCTCTCAACACTAATTGATACTTCAGCGATTTTTCATCGCGATCTCAGGTGTGCACTTGGATCGCGAAGCACAGTAACGTACGCTTATAATCCAATAATTTTTATCAGAACTGTCATTCCCCTTCCTCCCGCGTTCCAACGCTCAGATTTTATACGAGATTTTTTTGTCCAACGCCGACGTAATCGATAAACCAATTTGTTAAATTAAAAAGTTACGTGCTTCCTAACATTTTTCTCGCAAAAATGAGACCAAACGTGTTAGATTCCGGATAAGTTCCGTTTAATTAATCTCTTATTTATAGCCAGTGTTTTTGAAAGCAAAGTATTGAAACAATTAGGATCATTGAGCGATTAATAGCGTATCTATGTATGAAGAGAAAATATAAAATATTTCTTACTTTTTCAAATATCGCATTAAAAGATTAGTTTAATTAACTTTACTCACGTTCTCCCCCTGTTATTCTTGATTGTAGAAATCGAGAGCATTAAGAAACAAATACAACTTTGTACAATTTGCGCTTATAATCCAGTGTAAGAATTCCTCGAATCACTGGAGTATAAACGGGCGTTACTGAATTGCTTTTTACTTGTAAACGTGTGACCAAACAGTAACATGATTAGCAGCAGTGCAATTGTATACTAGACATTAAAAGTAAAGGTCAATCACAAGAAACACGAATCGGATTTTACCAGAGTTGCCAGACGTCGGGAAAGATGTTAAAAGTTCACTTCCGATCTCTGTTTAGAATCGCGCAGAGTCCATCGACTCTATAAGATGCTCTTAAAAGATTTTCAAAAATTTCAAAAATATTCTTAACAGAAGAGAATTCGAATATAATAAAACAAGCGAGAAGCAGCGAAAATTATCAAAAACTATTTAAATTTATATATTAAATATATTATTTAAATACATGTATTAAAATTATGAAAAATTAAATTAACAATTACTTAAAAAACTGTAACTGCAAATTATAGAAGCGTTTTTTTTCTTCTAATTTTGTCTCAATTCACCATTTTTTTTAATCTGGCAATTCTGAGTCCCACTCGATGCGAGGTGATCGCAGGTAGACACATCAAAGACGAAGAAATTTGCTTCAGGAGCAATAAGAAATTTTACCTCGTGATTCCTTGCTTGATCTCTTTCGTTAAATCGCGAGTATATTTTAATATTCAAATCTATCTCATTTTCTCAGAATTTATCCATTCGTAAACTATTTATTAAAAAAAAACAATGTTTGCAATACAAGTTTGAATTTATTTTCAAACGTATAGTTTGACATTTTCACTCTTCGCAGGATAAATAAACAAATATATCGCGTATATATCGCGTCGTTCCTATTGCGAAGTCGACGTGATGCGCAGACAAGGGACGGATGACAATGCGAACGTTACTGCGCGCGCGAATATTTTGAAATCGCAGTCCGCGAGTTGGATAAAATTTCAAACAAATCTCTCCCGTTGAATAGGCACTTATTCCTTTTTGCTCCATCCACTTCATTCACTCGCGATGTCGTCTTTTGATGAATGCCGCCAAGCGAAGCGGTTCCTTATCGCGCGCGCGAACGCCGTACTTTAGAGGCGCAAATCCTCCGAGTAAACTCTCTCTCTCACTCTCACGGAGTGAGAAATAGCATTCTTCCAATAGAGTCTACAAAGAAATTATTATTTCACCTCAACGGCGCGACGTGAAATTTCGCGATGCCAGGCGAACAGAAAAATGCATTTTCTCGGGACGAAAATCCGTTTCCATAAAAACGTCGGGGAGAATAATGTTCTCATTCACAAGTAATAAAAGAATTTCCGTCAAATATAATCGCGCGATTTAGCATTTTATTTTTTCATTATCGAATCCCCGGGCTAAATCTGTCTCGCTTTACAGGAGGAAAAACCCGTATTTTTTTTGTCCCTTGCGATATTCCGCAATTGACGCGAATGCAATATACAGAGAGAAGCAAAGTATATACAGTACATATACATGTCTAGTTTCGGGCCAAAGTTTCTAACCACGTGACTGCTTGGTGGTGTCTGATGTTCTTTACCTTACGAGACTTTCTTTGATATTCTTCGGCTTCGATCAGCTCGCCCCGGGCCTGGCCCACGTGGTCGCCGGTTTGATTCACCCAGTACTCAATGCGGTCCACCATTTCACCCTACACCGCACGTGGGGATTCGTAGGATTCGGACAAAGGGATTCGGGTTGACAGATTGCTCATCGAGAGGGCGAGAGGGGGGGAGAGGGAACAATTTCGTTACATTTATGTACACATACTCGGCGAGTGAAGAGAAGAAGCAGAGCATCCCCGCGGCAGCAAGACACCAGAGATCCTCAGCGGCGTCGCGCGCGTCATTTGGTTTTGTTTTGTTTTTTTTTTGTTTTTTCACATCGATACACAAATCACACACGATTCGTGTTAATATCAACACAGCAGATGAAGATTTAGTAAACGCAAGGTTAGTAGTATGAGTAATAGTAAGTAACAGTAATAGTAGTAGTAGTAACAACAGTAGACAGAGCGATTGATGGACAGAGGCACACAATTAGCACACCCATGTTTCGACAGAGAGCGGTATACATAGGTATATATATATATATATATATATATATATATATATATATATATATATATATATATATATATATGTATGTAGAGACAAAGAGATAGAGAAAAAGAAAGGAAAAGAGAAAAAGACACGCACACACAGACAGTACATATGTATATGTATACAATATAATGTAATATATACACATTTAGTATATGTTCGTTGTTCACCATTGTCATCACGAAATACCAAAAAAAGAAAAACAAAAACCGACGAAGTATAACAGATAAACAGAAAGAGAAACGCGCAAAGCGTTAGTTTTGTCGCTCGCGTAGAGCGGGTAGAGGAGGATCAAATGTAGTTGTGTGTGTGTGGGAAGAGAACGGATATTGTATACACCGATTAATATACAGATTACAGGCGAACGATACACGTCAACAGAAGCGTAATAATCGAGTAGCGGGGGAGGGTAAAATTGTGAGTAAAGCGGAGATTTTTCGACGAAAAAGGTCGTAGCCGGAAGGGAGGAGGGGAATTAAAAATTAAAACGGGGAAAGAGAACGCCAACCGGATAGGGGAAAGTGTAGGAATGACGGGAAGATGATAGGAAGAAACAAAAGAGTGACCAATTAGACGCGAACGAAATGCCAATGGTTTCGACGCGTGACATCTGGGGAGGACTCACCCGTCGGGCTTTGCTTTGATACTTGAGTGCTTTTTTGGTGTCCTGCGTGGCCGTCTGCACGTAGTCCACCGCGTGTTCCACATGGTACTCTATGCGATCTATCATCTCGCCCTAATTGCGGCGTAGGTAGGAGGCGCGGCGCGAATCCACACAGCGTAACACAAGAAGAAAGAGTGTTAGTTTTCCTCAAGAATAAGGCGAAGCTAATGATTAGAAACTTGATTTCTCAATTTTATTATTACGTCATGCATCAGCTCTCTCGCACACCGGCGTTGATAAACGCGAGAAAAGTAATTACCGCTGTAAAGCGATCGAACACAAGTGACAAGTGGCGATCTTTTTTGGTGACAATAGATTGAACAAAGTGACAAGCAAAGAGAGACCGCGATGGAATTACTCTAAAAGTATAACAATAAAGTTAACAATAAATATCTTAAAACAAATATGTAAATTCATAGTTGAAGAGACACTGTGGTAATTACTTTTCCTCGCTATGTGAAAAAAGGTCATTGAGTTTAGATACTATAAGTAAAAAGATTATTATTATTATTATTAATATTATTATTATTAATGTCTATCTATCATGCAAAGAATTAAAGCGTACTAAAGTCTCAAGTTTCACGCGATAAATAGTAATAATTTCAGAAGTGCGAAAATAACCAACGCTCAGATTTGAATAAACTTGAGATTTTAGCAAAATAAAGAAATTTATCACCCTTTGACTTAGCAGATAGTAAATAAAACGCGTAATTATGCTAAGAAATATTGCTATAAAGAGTAGAAGCATAGTTACACTGCGTCGCGCTACGCTTCCTAATTAATCATCGTACGAAAAAAAAAAAAGTAAAAATCACCGCGGACGACTATGAAATTAATATATACTCAAGATGGAAGTGTTCTCCAAATTATCATGTCAATTAAATCGGCAACGTTGGCCGATCGCATCAGTCAATTGTCGGGAACGATGTTGCTCAAGCATCTTGCAATAAATCGTCTTAATTGTTACAATTATCTTTAGTTCTAAAACTAAGTTGAAACTAAATTTGAACGTGTGTTTGAAAAGCCACGCACGAGTTTGAAAACTTTATTATTTGTTTTGTTTCACAGAGAGATCGGATTTTGTAGCCGAGTTTGTGCTAAAAAGAAACAATCGCTTTCTCATCGTATAAATAATTTTAATTACTTGTTTGACGTTTCAAATTAAACAGTTACTAACGAGGTTATATAAAATGTAAAAAATTGGGAAAGTTTTTTATGTTGTTTTTTTCCCGTCGATTTTTCTCTCCTCAAACACACGTATCGATTAACTCGCGCAAACTGCACAGAATCATTCATAAACGTCACATTCAATTACCAGAAAATTTATGTTCATGTCGATTTAATGCATTTGACTCTCATGTAGACGTGTTTAATTGCTCAAAATTTCATCGTGATGTAATAATATATCAATATTCATAATAACGAATACACCTTTGACGTTATTACGTATTTACAAAATTTACATATGCAATTTGCACGAATGTGTGACAAATGTATCATACGCGTAGTAGAAATAAATAAACAGAAATATTCAGATCGCGAAATAATAAACAAAAAACATACGTATAAAAAAATCTTTTGTTAACAAATTTAATTCCGTTATAGTTCAAGAGTGACGAGGGATTCTCGAAATTAAATCGAAACGATCGAGCTGACATAAATGATTTAATTCGTTCAAACAAGCAAATGTCTCTTCGGGGATAAATTTGCATGAGACAGTTCGACCTTACCTGACTCTCGACCAACATAGCCATGTCCATGAACATGTCGTGTAGCTCCCTGATGGAGTTTTCAAGTTTAATGATATCAGCGTGACGTGCCTCGATGTCCGCAAGAGTCTGTTTTGCTTGTTGCGTTTCCATAATGATCTGTGACAAGTGGCAAGATTAATCGTGTGAATTAAGATAGGCGCGACGAGCGAGAATATTAACGCTTTTCACAAAGCTACGGGGAAAGATCATTTAAGGACAAAGGTACCCCTTGTGTGAAGACGGCTGGATTCCCTTGCTCCAGCATCTCCTCGAGTTCCTCGTTAGTGGTCGTTCTCCCCGCTGCAATCACAAAAATTCGTCTCGTCTCGTAAACAGATTCGCCGCGAGATACAATCAATTGTCTTATTTATCGTGTTACTGTCGGTTTAGTAGATATATGTTCTACTGGCCGGATATTTAGTAAAGAAACAATTATTAAATTTGTAAAATTTGACGTAACAATTCTCAATGTGTCTCAAGTAGTTTTTAACCATATGTTTTTATATTAGTTTCCAATGTTACATATTTTAATTTTTAATTATTATAATTATTTTTTAAAATAAATATCTGAATTTATCTTTTAACTGAGCGTAGAAATTTGTTTCGATCGCACAAATAGAAGCATGCATTCAAATATGCATTCAAAACCTTTCGAGAATTTCAAGTTTTTAAAATTAAAACTTCCTTTTTAATCGATGGAAGTACAATTGTATGCACAATAGTATTTGTTATCGTGTGTTAAATTGGAATGAATAATGTTAAAATTGCAAATTCAAGAGGACAATACTTCGAGCATTAGATTGATGAGGAAGACGGGCTTTGATATTGGCGACAGATTAGAAAGAGCTGTTCTGCTCGAACAGGCATTCCGATCATGAATACGACCAATCGTGACGTAGGTATATGTACTCACTAATCTCGAGCTGTCGTTGTATTCTCCCCTTACACCGCTCCCTGTAATCGGTCTGTGTCCGATTGTACTCCGTCATCACTTCGACGAACTTCCTAGACAACGTCGAGTGCTGAGTCTTGCGTATCCTCAGATCCGCGGACGATTTATTCGTATGTTCCTCTTGTTCGATGTTCTGCTCTATGACTATATTTACACAGAAAAGAAAATCCAAATTCACAAAATTGTTTATCACATTACGAAACATGTAAAAATATCACATTTGAATATGTTGACACAGTTAATATTTAATTTACATGTAAATATATATTTTTGTTCCGGATTTCAAAAACTCACCCTTTAATTTAGCCCTCACTTTGTTAGCAGTTTTCTTGATGTCGGACATCAGGTCTTCGAGTTCTTGTTTCACCTCTGAAATCGAGAACAATCATTTGTTTATTTATTTCGTAAACAATATTTCACCGGAATATTTCGTTCACACACACACACACACACACATACACTACGAGATTTAAAACAGATTCCCTATTTTAAAAAAATTTAAGTTTTAAATTATTTCTTTTTAATCTAAAATACAACGCCTGTTTGCGGAGTAAATAACGGATTGTTTGAATTTGGCGCTGGTCTTGGATTAAATTTTCCAATGAGCAAGCATTGGAGAAGGATGGGTCAGAGTCTCCTCGTAATGTCACGTCCCAATATTCCGCGTCCCACGCATAAACATCCCACGCACCGCTGCCCACGTCTCGTACAACCCACCCCGTGATGAAGACTTTCTTCTTCTCACATGGAAGATATATATATATATACATTGTAATCCGCTTCCGTACTTTCATATAAGACGAGACATATTACACTTTATAAAGAGAAGAGAGAAAAAAAGATTCCATTCAATTTGACGCGAATAGAACGAGCGAATCGAGAGAAAAAAATTATTAAAAATTTTACACGGGCGTACTTTACATGCTCTTTGAATAGTTCGTGTCAATAATTGCTCCAGATCGGAGGTTCAGATAAAACGGAATTTTCTTGTTACAGTACCAGGTACGCCAACACATACAAACTGTGTAATCGACGCGCAGGGTCGTTTACACGAGAACTAGCGTGAATTTCGATTGTGAAAAAAAACAGAGCGCAAAACCTATCGCAAGTTTAAACGCGATCGAACGACTTGGGACTCGTGCGAACGTCTCGTCGATCTTGCGGCGGAGAGCGAAGTTCACATAGAGACAGTTTAAAATGGAAAGATGCGAACTGTAATAAACGTTACTTTTCGAATTAAGTATTAAAATTTATTTTCAATTTGCTTAATCGTAGCAATCGGCATACAAAAGTTTATATAAACTCGCAATAAATTAAGAGAATCTGACACTCAGTAGCTTCGCGCAGTAGTAGAACTGGAAATTGTTCAGCCATCAGTAAGTGTTCTAATAATTAAGTGCCACTGGCCAGACATTTATTAGAAAAATAATTGTGACAAAATATTTATATATGAAATTAAATGCAGAAGTGCGTAAAAAAAAATAAAGAAAACGTATTTAAAGTTAGGAATTAATTTAAAAAACATTTTTAAAAAATACTTGAAACACTGAAAATTATATTTAATCTTTACATGGCTGATAATTATTTCTCTAATGAATGTCCGGCGATGTGGTATCTTATATGTACGCGGTACATGCGCGTGTTAAAGTTCACGTTTAAAAGAAGTCGCTATACGCGATACGAAAACACCGCCGACCTAATCTTTTCACCTCCTTCATTTCAGCTTACGCCAAGATTTCATTTTCGTCCATGTGCCACTCGACGCGAACTAGTTTCTGCCGTCGACGATTGTTAGACGTGATAATTTCGGCGATTCCAAAAATCACTTGCCGGAAAGTTTTTTTCTCGCCGCGCGCGATTGAGAGACACAGATATAAAAGATTATATGAAATGGAGAAATTCGAAACGGGGAACGGAAAATGTTGGCGGTAAAAAGATATATGATTTGGCTGTTGGCCAAGTAAATTGCGGTGGAAACGAGATGTTGTTAACCTTTTATACCGCCATGACCGGTGAGATAAGAAAGAGAGAGAGAGAGAGAGAAAAAATTTTGGCGGAAAACACGTATTCAAGAAAATGTAATAAAGTAAATAAAGCTCCGAGGTTGCGGTCTTGCGCATCAAAAACGTGGCGCTGTTGAATCTTCTTCAACAATTTTATTTATTTATTTTTTTTCATTGCCTTTTTTCTTTTTTTCTCGGAGAAGGTCTAACAAAGAGAGTCGAGAAGTATTTTGTGGTAAAATTGCCACGCTTGTAATTACGACTTCGCGCTCGAATTAGATTTTTCATCACGTTATTTCAATTAGCGCGCACGATTCGTCAAAGAAAGAAAAACGTGTTAACGTTTGCATTCTTCATAAGGCGGGACCCTCGCAAATTCGTCGTGAGATAATTTAAGCTCGAAGAAGGTCGCGCGAGATCGCAAGAACGTCGTCGCACGAGCGTGGCGGTGCAATTAGCAATTAGCGAACTCCGTTTAATTGCCTTCCGGGTGCTTCTCTCCGGAACGCGTGATTTCACGAAGGGACGAAGAATAGCATTTCCTCCGTTCTTTCTCGGCTTCTGGAGAAATTGTTCAGACAAAGAGAAAGAGAGAGAGAGAGAGAGAGAGAGATAGAGATAGCCCGACCACGCGATTAATGTTATCGCAGTATATTTAAAAGGCATCTGTTATTTCTTCGATTTACCTCGTCTTCAAATAGAGACCTAGAGCGCGGTACCATCGATTTTTACGAAGGAGAAGCCAGTTAACTTAGCTCACGCGATTTAATCAAGAGGCGCGCACCGGCGCAAATTTTTCTTTCGTTCCTCTCCTCGGTCCTCGTTATATGAGATTATCGCGAAGAGATACGCTTTGCCGAGGATAAAAATAAAATAGCGCCAAGACGGAAAGGAGAAGAAAAATAGAAGAGTGTGTGTACGTGTAAAAGAAGAGTGGAAATTCAAAAAATTTAATTAAACCAAGAACCATACGAGGCTTTGAGAATACGTTTCTTGCTCGGTGCGTGTTCGGAATTTTCTTATGTAATAAGTAACGAGTTAATTTAAACACGCACGTGTTTAAATGAGGCTGACTAATTAAACCGAGAAAATTTTGAACTTTCGCACCGAGAGAATTTTCGAGTTCGGAAGCTGCGTTGATTCTCGCAAAATTGCTCGTTGACGATCAGCAGCGAGCGGTTATCCAAACGATGCGGAATATTTGTCGCATTTCTGCGAAAGGAAGGTAATTTGATCATTCTGCAGTTGATGTTATTCTTTGATTAACGTGTGATGCGTGGGCTTTTATGAATTCACTGAAGTTTTACTTTGAAAACTTATCTCGAAATGAATTGCAGAATTCAAAGAATATAAATAATAATATAAGCGTGTGCGTCACGCAATTTTCTTTTGAAATTTGAAAATATTTCCTTTGCAATCTTGTTTTATATATATATATATATATAAATCAGCACCTGATGTCGCGATGAGTCAGTCTCCCGACGACGACGAAGTTTTTCATTAGTACACTCGCGCGTCATTCGCAAAGAGAGTCGATAAATACTGTGTATCGCAATTAGCACGGATTAAGCGCGGAAACGTAGGTAATGAAGCCTATTATTAGTGAACGAAGCGAACAAAGCAAAGTGGCCGAAATTGCGGACATTAATAAAGGCGATTAACATTTCCTCCTCCGTCGTCATTTTATTCGCCTCGCACCGTCAACTGCAAAAGCAATACGACCAAATCGCGTTTCCGCAGTACAACGCAGCCAAATCTATTCTGCCTCGTTTGTGTAAACGCTCGCTGCTATTGTCAACAAATAATTTTGCGAGAATCAACGTGGCTTCTGAACTAAGAAAATTATATATTCCGATCCGCAGAGCGTCGCGATCGAATTAGAAATCGTGGATTCGAGAAACTCTAAACTTCGTGAGCAAATAGAAGAAATACAACACAACTCTCTCCAAAGTAATATATTTTACAAATAATAAAATAATACGAGAAAACTTGAAATAGCCAATCGGAATACGATGCAAGTAAAAAGCTTGTATTTTTGCATACAAAATAAAAAAGTAATAATATAATTAATAATTGTTCAACAGTAATTTTAATGTTGTGTTAAATTATTAGTACATCAATTTTTCATTAATATTGTTTACAAAAAATGTGAAAAGCATCGAAGTTATTTTTGTTAGGTAATATACTTTTAATTCATATCCTGATAAAATATTATTAGGATTCTCCCTTCATATTATCTGAGGATTATATGCCAATGCTTTGTTCGATATACCATGTCGAAGTAGTTATAACGCCACTATTTCCGTTTCGTAAAGTTAGAACATGACTTCAGAAGCTATACTCGGTTAATCTGCTTATAAAGTCGATTTACGCAGTACCATATTCCGATTAAATCGTGACTCAAGTGAGCACACACATTCACAGAGACATAAAAAGTAAAGATTACCTTTCCGTGTCTATTTTTCATTATGATTATTTTAGAAGGAATAGACCGGGAAGTTAAAAGGAGACCAAGAAAAAATGAAGAAAAGACAAAACGGGAGAGATATAGAGAGAGAAAGGGGGAAAAAAAAATAAAAGGATGGGTCGAGGTTATCTCCGTGGGAACTTGACGCGAGGTGTTTTGCAACACCTTCAGGTGCGCCTCAGGTCTTCCCTCTCATATTCCTGTCGCGTTATTATCGACTTTTCCTGACCTCGTCTTACGCGATCCCGATTTGTTCCGTCCTCTTTCCGCCTTCATCTTTCCCCGTCGTTCGCACCTTGCACACGCGCTCGATCGAAAGAGCCGACGTACAACGGCCGACTTCCGGGGACTCATTCGGGAATACTCGTCGAAATGAAAAGGAAACGCGAGGCTTTTTTTTTTTCATCAACGAACCCTCGGCCGTTCCGTGACGTACGTCTGGGAGTGAATGGTCAGTTATCGACAGCTTCGGATTTACTAATCCTGTCGAGAGGTAATAAAGTTCGTTTGCGCGCGTTTGGATACTGGTGATGTGTTACGCGCTGCGAGCGTGTAAATTGGGTTAATGTCGCGTGGAAACGTGCCAGACCTACTTCCAGGCTACCGCTCTGCTGACTGACCGGTGTTCGGCGAACAGGATGTTCGAACTTCAACGAACTCGAAAGGAACGTGTGTGTAATCGTTGTTTCGGCGACAGGTGATTTCGCGCGATTTTTTGGCAAACTCGGCGTTCTCGTACTTTTGCGTCTTGTACAACTCTTCTTACAATTGGCTGATAATGCAAGTTTCTCGAAAAACCCGAGAAAGTTTTTTTTAATGCGGAAAAATGTCAAATATTAAAAGACCATTTATATACATATATTTGAAAAGGCCATTATTAATCCTCGGAGAACTGGATG